CACGTGTACTTGATCCATGTGCAGCAGCTGAAGATGAAGGTTTAAAAAATCGGATTATATCTGGAATTGTTGTACTTTGTGGTCTTGTTATTATTGCAATATTAATTGGTACAATTGTCACTTTTATGGATGAGAAATTAAAAGAATTAAAAAAAGGACATACAACAGTTATTGAAAAGAATCACACAAGTAAAATTAGATAAACTATTTAAAAAAAATTCTTTCGTTTACTTTTTAGTAATTCTAGGATGGTCACCAAAAATATTTGATATTATTCATGAACTAATTAGTGCAAATGAAAGTCAGCGAAGCCCATCAATTGTTATTTTAACATCAAAAAATCGTAGTGAAGTACAGTATATGATTAAAAATAAAATACAGAACTCAAAAAATACTAGAATTATTTGTCGAAACGGTAATCCAATGTCGGTATGTAGAGAAAGATATAAATAAATGATTGCATTATATTTTAATTAAATTTAGATCACTGATTTGAGTAAATTGAGTCCTAATCAAGCACGATCGATAATTATACTATCACCGGAAATAAACAATCCTGATGTTCGAGTAATAAAAACAATATTAGCAATAAGAAATAATCCGCAACGAAATAAAATTAACTTTCATATTGTAGTCGAAATCAAAGAAAGAATTAATTTAGAAGTGGCAACGATTGCAGGTTTTTATTATTTTTTATAAATTTAAATGTTTATGTGAAACACAAACTTAAAGAAGTGTTGGAATACATAAGGTAGAAATTTGAACAGAACATCGAAGGCGTATGGATCAGTGAGGGTGAGGGTGCATCGAATATCTACATCCCACGTACATACACTATTTAGCAACAAAGCAGTGGCGGATTCAAAGGGGGGAGGGCGGTCAAACCTTTCAGAAATTTTTCTTCATTTATTAAAGCAAAGATGAACGAAAAAATAAGTTCACACTACTTCGATTGGACTCAAAAATTAGTTTTTAGCCGAAATCGCCCCACTCAAGTATCGCCCCTCTCTTCCAAAATCCTAGATCCGCCACTGCATCAAAGTTTTACTAGCAATTCGTTTTGAACTCTAAATTGGGCTGTGACATTCTGTTCTAGCGCCGAAATTTACACCTCTTCTCATTACCGGTTGTGCCGGGTATACTTTAAAAGGTAAGGCTTATTACAGCCTTTTTTATACAAATAATTTGCTCGAATACCACATGAATAATTTAGTTAAATCCATAGAAATGTTGAGTAATAAAAAATCAAATATTTATTTTAGGCGGAGATGAAGCATTATTTGTCTATGCTGATGAAATAATTGCACGAATTATAGCTCAGTCATGTCGACAAAGTGGTTTAAGTATAATATTAACAAATTTATTATCATTTGAATATGATGAAATTTATTTCAAATATGAAAGTACACTTGTTGGTAAAACATTTTATGATGCCATATTTTCATATAATAAATGTTCAGTCATTGGATTAATGTTAGCTGATGGAACAGTTAAAATACTTCCACCATTAAATATGCTAATAAATATTGATGATCAAATAATTGTTATCGCTGAAGATGATGATAAAATTATATTATCAAAAGGTTATTTAGGACCAACATCACCACCAATAATTAGTCATAATACAGTTTTATTGTCAACACAAATGACTAGACGAGCAACGAAAATTGTTGAACGAAATCTTCTACTCGGATGGAATAATACAGCTCCATTAATTATCAAAGAATTGGATACTTATGTTGCCCGCGGTAGTGAACTACATATACTAACAAATTCTGATCAAATAACAAAATTTATAGATGAACAATTGATTAATGAAGTAACAGAACAAAATCTATTTGTACATTCTGGAAATTTAACAAATAAATATGATTTAGAAAAATTAAATTTATTTTCTTATAATTATATCATATTATTAGCAAATGAAGAAAATAAAGATCAAAATTTAAGTGAAGATGCTGATGCTGAATGTTTAATTTGTTTATTACATTTACGAAATATTATTGATAAGTCAAATAACGAAAAGAAATTTAGTATTGTAATAGAAATGCATGATATACGTAATCGTCAGCTAGCAAATATAACATATGCAGATGATTTTATTGTTAGTCCAAATCCGATATCAAAATATATCTCACAGTTATCGGAAAATAAAAATATTAAAAAAGTTTATGATGTTTTATTAACAGCCGATGGTCCTGAAATATATTTTTGTCCAGCATCAATGTTCATTCCATTGGAAACACCAATTAGTTATTATGAGATTGTACAAGAAACATTAAAATATGAATGTATAGCTATTGGTTATCGATTAATGAAATATCTACATGATGAAACAAGATTTTATGGAATTGTTTTAAATCCAGATAAACAAGAACAAGTTATATTTTCAAAGCATGATAAAATTATAATTTTAGCTGAACAATTTATATCATCATCTCAGAATAATTGTACTAATTTCTAAGTTTGAAAATAGTTGATTTTAATAAAAGCATGGTGTAGATGATATCTGAATTAAAAGTACTTAGTTTTGTTGATAATTTTTGTGTAGCAAGTATTTTGTCTCATTGCGATCAATGATGTGATCAAAAATATCAAATTCCATCTGATATTCCTATATATGATGGTCATATCCATCTTAATCAAATCACTTCGAAAATTCAATCAGATCTTCTTTCTACTAGAGTAACTCCTCCTATTCAAAAATTCTACTTTATGAACAATAATCATAAGCCTGATAAATGGCTAATTCCTAATCCTTCTCTATATCTATATACATCCAACCATTGATATTCATTCTAAATACTTTACTCCACAATCCTTATACTCAACTTTGAATGATCTAAGAACTGATTTAGAAATTTCGCATCATAATCAAAATCCAAAAGGCAAAATTGTTGCTGTAAATTTCTTATATAAAATTCTCTAACAGATATATTAAAACAACATATGTCTTGAAAATATTTTTTTTCTTTTCCAGATATTCATCAAGTCTATTTTTATCATTTCGTTTATGTAGATAATTGTTAGCTGAGATTCATCAATTTGATGAATGATGAACGAGAGAAAAGGAAAGAGAATGAATCGCATATAGCACGAGTGACTGATGAGCGTATATGACGCGAGACGGGTTCGAATCGTGTGCGAGGAGAAATTTTTTTTTCGTTCTGTCAATGTATTTTTTTTGATTGATAATTGTTAAATTTTATTTTGCTTATCGTCAGAGGCACCCTCTGAAGATCTCGACGGGGATGGAGGCAATTCATCATGTTGATTCCAAATATCCAATTTATTTTTACTGAAAACATTTCCTTTAAAACTACCCTGGGGTGACATGCGTTATTTATATAAACTATAGAAAAATGCAGATAACATCGATAAAAGGTGGTGCATACTATTCAAATCATAAATTATTTAAACACATGTATTCATATATAAAATATAAATTTGATAATCTATTTGCTCTTGGTTTAATTTTTATTATTCCATTATTAGTTACTATAGCTACATTTGTAATATTACTCTTTAGTATAATTTATTATTACAGTGAAGAAACCGATAATTATGAAGATGCATTATGGGAAGCATTTACACGTGTACTTGATCCATGTGCAGCAGCTGAAGATGAAGGT